GTATCCTCTAAGACAATGAAGAGACAGCCCCCCAAAACCAGACTAGAATTTTATTATGTAAAGTTTATAGAAGTGTGACTAGTATTCCTCTGTACAAAGTACATGACAGTTTTAAATACAATGGAGAGAAATGCAAGTCCTATGACAATATTTAATACAAGCTGAACCATTTACAGATACACTAAAAAAGTTTAAAATGTCATCTTCTTTCTCCAAAGAGTCCATTGCGCATTTCTTAGAGATGGGGACACAGCCCAGGCAAAGTCACAATGGCATTTTATTGCCCTCGATGCTGATTTTCACTGCATGTGCAGATCTGCTTTTTTTCCTGATATCTGTGAACTTTCTCATCTGTTTATCCAGTCGACTGATACCCTTCTTGGAGGTTCCCTGAAACTAAGAGTGGAGTAAAAATTAAAGAGCAATTATTGAAATACATAAATCTAGTTTTGTCTTTCATCCTTTTTTTCTGAAATTTAGCAGTCAGAAGAGCTCCTAGAGCTGGAATAACCAGAATATGCTTCAGTGCCCTTAGGAACAAAAGAGCAAGTACACTCAGCAGGGTTAGAAAACACTCACTGAAGAGTAATTTTGTTATTGTCTGTGCCTTATTGTTAACTTTTGCCCCAGTCCATGGAAACCTCCTAGATGAGAGAGAGAGGAAAAATTGAAACTATGATCCCCCTAATTGCACCACATTATATTTTGACTGTATGCTTTCCCCTTTTAAAGACCAAATGTGGAGTTGACCTTTTGTCAAATACACCTTCAAAAAGTGCTGGCATAAAGAATGATGATCTTCTAAGGCAAGGAAAGTCATCTGAGAAAAAGCCTTAAGCGTGATGGATGATGTCAGAGGGTTAGCAAAGCAAACCCATGAAGTGCTGGAGCTCTAAGTTCAGACGGGTAAAAAAGCCCTGCTCTGCCTCAGCAGGTTCTGCGACCTTGGGCAAATCATGCCCTGGTCAGCACTCCTTTCAGGACTGCTGGGAGAAGTTACTGAGAAAATACTGTCAAATATAAACACATGGGCTGGTATACAGTCAGTGCTCTAAATAAATATCACTATTATTACTACTTTGCAACCATTACATTTAGGTTAAGTAAGTATACTCGACACAAAAAGGAAAGAAAATTAAGTCTCAATGCAAAGAATGCTAAAAGAAGGCAGAGTCTGGGAGACATTCCAGGGTTGATGCTAGCGTGGTGAAGTTCCTTTGAGTCCTGGAGCCTATCCAGTCTTATCCCACCTCTGGACACCACCTCCACACTCAGATATAAGCAAGAAACTCTATAGGAGTTTGAACATTCTTGAACAAGAGCCATGCTGATAACCATAGATTTTCTAGGAATACGCCAATTCTAAATATTATTTTATATCCATTTTAATAGCACTGAGTTACCATAAAAATTCATTATCAGATGAGAAAGTGCTGTGTTACTATTACCATATTGAATATCCCAGATTTCCTGAAGAGCCCCAAATATCTAACTTACTTTCAGACAGTGTGCCCTGATTATTAGTACTTACAGTCAGTCCACACTGGAAGACTTACCTTTCAGATCTCCGCCAACTCCCCAACTCCTAGCAGCTCTACACTCCAACCTGGATACAGCCTGGATTTCTCCTTACCCACTCCTCCCAGAACTTTCTCTAACAGTCTGAGCCCTCCCGCCCCAGAAACTGAAATACATTCAGGTTGTACAATCTACTCCTAGTTATAGCTCTTAAGAGTTGTTGTAGCTGCCAGATGCCTAGTTTTCCCAAGCCTGAAAACACCAAGAACATAGTACCTAATATGCTAAATTCAATGACTTTTTTCCTGATTCAAAAACTCTATACCACCCCCTTTGGATAGTAAAAATGTAATGCAGTTTTATCAGTGAAGAGTTTTATCACTGTTTTACCAGTAAAAACCCAAAAGCAGCCTAAAAGATTAACGAGATGGATCTGTTTAAAAAATTATGGTACATGCTACCTTGAACAAGCCCAAGCCCGTCTGATCTTGGAAGCTAAGCAGGGTCGGGCCTAGTTAGTATTTGGATGGGAGACCACCTAGGAAGACCAGGTGCTGTAGGTGTAAAAAGTAAAAATAAAAAAATATGGGATTGTAAGCTGACAAGGTCCTTGCAATCTGTGAGGTCAACCAAGGGTTGCCTCACCTAAATAAATAAATAAGTGAATAAATAAATAAACAATTATGGCACAATTGTGTTCTGACACAATATTGTATCACTGAAGAAAGTTTACTAAAATGAATTTTTACCATGCTATGTAAACACAAACCTAACAAAGTATAAAATATGATTCAAGATTGTGCTTAAAAGTTCAGAAAACCCAAAACCAGTAATAATGTTTACATTCACATAAAAAGGACCAAAAAGAAGCAACTCAAAATGTTAATGTTAAGGTATGGTGAGTTTACAAGTGACATTAACTTTATTTGTGCTTTCTGTATTTAAAAGCTTATATAAAAACATGCATTGCTTTTGTCATTTTAATGTTTAAAAGCACTCCATGGAATAAATTAACATATAAACATACAATGTAGTATAGGTTACTGCATTACTTAGGAGAGAAAATAAGAAACCATAGAGAAATGAATAAACCAATTATATATTCACATAATAAATCATTATGCAGCTATTATAAATGATAAATCTGTAAGGTAGTTTAATGAGAAGTGATCAAAATTATATACAGCATAATTTTAATTATATTAAAATAGCAATAGAAAGGCAAAAATATATCAAAGTGCTTTTGAATAGTGGGTGATTTTTCTTTTCACTACTTCAAATTTTTCTACAATTATAACAAGAAAAAACTAAGTTTGAAGCATTACTGGAAATACATTTAACACATCAAATTGTTAACAATGGTAACTCAGAGAAAGAGCAGGACTTTGGGAATGGGGTTATTCTAGTATTTTATATTTATTTACATAATTTCAAAAATAAAAATGACAAGTTTCATTTGAAAGCCATTTTCTCACTCCAATTTTCTTCTTGAATAATACATTTTCTAATAATACTCATTAGTGTTGGTGCAATGTGAAGGCCTTTGTGAATATGTGAGAAATCTCCCTGAGCAGGGGAATAGCACCAGGTGGCTTAAGAACAAGAGAATGAAATGTAACATGGGACCACAAGCCCCAAAACATGCCTTATTTTTTTTTCAGAAGAGCTCTATAAGCCATTCTCAGGCCTAGATAAATACCAGTACATTATGGTTTTGGCAGTATTGACGATGAAGGAAAGGAACTCTACATTATAGAATTTCCCTCACCTCTCTGTTCCAACAGGAGGTTGGGCCACCTCTTCCCACCTCCCCATCACCCACAGGGAAGGCAGAACCAGAGCCAGAAATAGCAGCAGATAGATGCACACCCTCAGGACACGAGGCGTGCTCCCAAAGTTGACTAGTCACACATAATGTTTATGACATTTCCTTTGCCACACTATAGTTCTCAACTCTCACAAATATGTGTGTTGGGGAAGAGAAAATATTATGAAAGAGAAGGATAAAAAGAGGGAACAGACAGTGAAAAGGTAAAAAGAAACAGGTGTTTTGGGGCAGATGGGAGAGAAGGGATATCAAGGGACGTAGATAAAACAAAGACAAAAAGAAGTACAGATGAAGTTTGTGGCACCAAACTAGTAGTGCTCTGCTACCCTTTATTCTCAACAAATAAGAGTGTGCTTTGTTTTGATAGTAGCTTCATAGCAGAGTGAACTGGCAGGAAGGTTGAGTGTAATCCATGAAGTAGATGCCAAAGTGGGGGTCACAGAGAGGTCACGAAAGGCACACAGCACACTCCGACTCTCAAGAGTACACTACAACAAAGGTGCCACCATTAATCTCAACAGAGCAGGTCAGGGAGTCTGGCTTTATGAACGTTTCAAAGTCTTTTTCATTTCCAATCACATACTAAATATGACTTAATCAAATTTATTTCCTAAGTATTTAGTGTCAGGCTTTCAGCAGTGAGTCCTCAAATCCAAGTTGCTGAGCCACTGACAATAGGAAAATTAGCTACCGCCTTCCCACTAAGAAGCTACTGACCAGTTAATATGCCTGCAATGCAGACTATGGTTCTGGGCCCTAACAAAAGCCTTTTTAATAAAAATGAGTCCCAGTCAGGAAGACCAAAATGCTTGTAAGGGAAATAATTATCTATTGAGCTCTAGGGTACTGATAAAGGAAAGGACTTCCATGTCAATTTCTAAATATTCAAGAGAACCTGAATGTCACAAAATGCCCGTTAGGGTCATTATTTTAGAAACTAGAAGTGAGCCTGGCCTTGCTCGTTAAACAAGCACACACACACTTGTTTTCACTTCAGCTACTGACAATTCAAGCCCATGCACAGAGCATGCCTCCTTGGGGATACCTCCCGGATACACTGGTAGGGCCAGGCCTACAGGGGCATCCTGTTGCCTTCAATGCTGAACTTGACAGCACGGTGCACTCTGCTGAGTCGTTTCTGTTCGGCAAATCGCCTCTTATGCTTTTCCAATCGGTTTAGGCCCTTTTTAAGAATACCAGGCTAGAAAGAGCAGTTGGAATGGAGAATAAAAAAAGATTACTAAGAAGCAATGAAGATCACTGAGTAGTATTTACAGTGATGACAGAGGAAGTGTCTACCCTAAACATTTCATAACAGAATTATTTAAAACGATTGAGAAAGGGAGGGGTGACTACATAAGCAGGTGAGTTCTGATTCTCATAGTTCTAAAAAAATGACTATCAGAACATTTGGCTTCAAGATTCAGTTGAAATAAAGGGATAAAGGAAAAAACTTCTTGACTTGATAATGTTGCTTTAAGTCTGAAGTAAAGCTCATTAACAATGAATCGATCTGGCTCGATAAAAGACCAGAAAACAGCTCTCTTTAAATCAGATAAACCTGAAGAGCAATTTAAGGGTCACTAAACATGAAGTAAAAGACAAAACAGTACTTTGCACTTGAGATCCGCCATGCTATTCCCTGCATGCTTACCCTGGATGACTCCATCTCTACGTTCCACTTGGGCCTGACAACGTAGTCTTTGTTTGAGGGCATTGGGACCCTCGCACGGGCACAGAATCCAGGATCTCCAGGTCTAAGAGCCCTGAGAGTGAGAAGAGCATGCTGCTTATGTAGCCAATTACAGCTGGGCCCATCCCATTCAGATACTCGCCTCTTTCAAATCCCCTCTGCCCTCCCAAGGTTACCTGATCTACCCTTCTGCTGTCTGTCTTAGCTAGCCTCACCATCACTCATTATCGTATGAATTCCTTACAACCTCCCTCCCAAAGCCAACTTCCTCTTTTCCATTTCAGTGAATGATAATACCATCATCTCGGCTACTTAGGTCAAAATTTTGGTGGTTGTCTTCAAATCTAGCCAATTCCTCTCCCACTAAATTACCTACTCCTGGCAATTTTATCTCTGCAAAATATTCTCAACCTTCTGCTTCCCTATTACTATCTTGGTTTAACTGTATTACCGCCTTCAGTTACTCTGCCCTCCAACGCATTCTATACCATGCCACCAGCACTCCAAATCAAATCTGATGACTTCACATCCACGCTCAAAAATCTTTCTATGAAATCACAATGAGAAGTAGAAATTCTTCATCTTGATTTAAAGCCTTAAAAATCTGGTCCACATCTAGGTTTCCAACCTAATCTTCCACCACTGCAGGGACCACACTATGGCCCAACCACTTCAGCCTACTTGCCATTCCTAAAATAGGCCTTGCAACGCTATTCCACATCTTTGTTTGAGCTCTCTTTATCTATAATCTCTCCAAAGACTTTCTGAGAGCATAGACTATTTGTAACGTGATTTTGTATTCCCAGAGCTTAACCCAAAAATCTAATATATATCAAGAAGCAACAAAATCTTTATTAGATGGACTATTTCTCAATCTTCCTTATATCCTTCAGAGCACCCAATATAATGCTTTGTGGATATTCAATAATGTTAAACTGAAAATCACACCCCACCAATGTGAACACAACATCATTTCGCTTGCTATTTTTCTTAAAACAAAGCAACAAACAGAATATTCTCTATATAGGCTAAAAAGAAAAATTAATACAAAACTCTTACTTCTCCTCTCCTGTCAGCACCTTTTCCAGGTCTCTTCGGGGTGTCTGACCACCAGTGCTGGGAAAAAAGTAACCAATGAAATATTAAGAAGGTTGAAACCTTATAACCTTTGATTATAACCCTGTTAAGATAAGAGCAGAGTGAAACAGCAAACTTAGATCACAATTATGTCCTTTACACTGGAAATATGATTCCTAATCTTGCACATCAGTTTTCATTATTTGTAACTAATGACCTTGCCATCCTGGATGCAACTGTATCCAGTTTACTGATACAAATGAAATCAATGTTATTTTTCTCTCCTAAGAATTTGGAAATGAAACCAAGAAAGTTTTTTTCTGCAAGTGGCTTGAACAAAACATCAAACCTCCAGAATTGGGGCAGAAGCCACAGTCCATCAAATCTGCAAGGGGTTGCTGACTTTCATTAATACACATGAACTACACAGACACATCTAGCTGAAAGATGAGTCCTATTACAGGTTTCCCAATAATCTTATTTACAAAAACACTGAGTTATCACAATAATATTTACTCCAATTACTCATACCTGTTCCCTCATACCTGCTCATTCTTCGTCGTTGAGGCATTTGTTCTAGGTCTCTCTGTTCCCTTTCTTCTCTTGTCATTCCTTTGTAGTTTGAGGTAAGACCAAATATAGGCCGAGACCACTCATCTGTAACAAAAATCAACTATTTAGTCCACAAAGCAGTATTTCTCCTACCATTCCCTGCAACATTCACACCCTAGTGTGATGTCATATTCTGAAGGTACCATTATTTCAGAACCATTTATAAGATAAACACAGAATACCAATATCAGAACTAGCTCCAGCTAATTCAGAAAATAAGATCATTTAAACCTGTAACCACCACAGAGGTTTAAAAAAGTAATATTTGACTCAGTTTAAATAGTTATCAATTACCTGTGTTATTTCATAAAGACAGCCGAATTTCTAAATTTATTCTACAGAATAGAAATCTTGACATTTCTTATGCTAAAAAAAAGCTACCTATTGTCAAAATGGTCTAAATCTTTAAAAATTACATTTTAATAATATAGGCGTAGAGCCTATACTTCATTAAATCTAAGAAAGCTGCTAAGATGGACATGAAAAAAAGTACTACAAGCGCATTGTTTAGTTAGTAAAAGTCCAAAGTTACCAACTGAAGTTTTTGTTTTGAAACATAATGTAGCTTATTGCTACATTTAATATACTAGCAAAACAAAAGACCTTTATAAACAGAACATAGGTGTTGTTAAACTAATAAAGAAGCAAGAAGCATAGGGGCAGGGAGCAGGTATCTATCTTTGAAAACTGACCCACCAACCCCGCCCCTGGATTCAGAATCACTGTGGTAGTAAGTCATGAGTACCAGCGGGAATATTCTGCTTTTCTCAGTCTAAGGCAAAAAGAGAGCTGAGAATCCCTGCATAATAGCATCAAAAGTTTATTATTTAACAGACAGTAAATGAACAGATTATTAATAAGATCAAAGGTATAATACTTCCCTGGTTTATTAAAAATTTTAAGTTATTCTGAAAATGCACCTTGGAGTGAGGTGAATTCAATAAAAAATTGCTGAGTCTTTTTAAAAAATTTAAATTTCCCTAAAAGATTTTAATAATCTTAAAAATTCAATAGAAAAATTATTACTGTATTCAGATACAAAAGCAGTTACTTTTTCGATCCTGCTTGGAATTAAAATTTTCTTCCAACTTGGAGCTCAGGAAAATTTAAGGAGGGCAATGAAAATGCACATTTTTAATTTTTAAAAGTAAAAGATTTCATAAACAATATGGCAACTGATTAGGTGAATTTCAGTTAAGACTCCTCTGGTATCGTTAAATAAGAACATGAAAAAGGTTTTGAAAACCATTATAAAGTAACAACAATAGCAACAATGGCTAACATTTCCTGAAGACTATGTGCGTTAGGCATTGCTTTACATACACCTTCTTGTTTAATCTTTACAATAACCAAAGTAAATAAAACTTTCCACGTTACAGTGGAGGCAAAACCAAGGCTTAGAGCCTAAGGATATGCAGTAAGGTAGGTGGTGAATACAGGATTTGAACCCAGGTATGACTAACACTAGGGCCTGCATTCTAATCCTTCTCTCTCTATATGCTCTTGATCCATGATTAGAAAATGCATCATTTTACTTGCTGTACTTAATACTGGATTGCATACTTAAATATACTGAGAAGCATTTTAAGTCTAAAGGGAAAAGGCTGGTATCTATAAGAAGGTATCAACAAAATTTTCTATTCCACTTAATTGATTCATTTTAAATGAATACTGGTAAATATAGTTAAATTTTATAAATACATAAACACAACAAAAAATAAAATGTACATACTGATTAGTTTCCCTGCCATGTCTTTGTTGGACCTTGACTCCTTGGGGTGTTTATAAAGATACATCACTGCTCGTCCGATCCCACTATGCTTTAGGGTCTCCTGGCTCACACTAGGTAGCTGAGAACATAAACACATGCACACATATTAATCACTCAGAAACAGGCAGTCCTACCAATCTATTCTAGAGGAATCTCGAAGACTTGGTTCATTCACAATAGAATAGATAACAAAAAATTCCACATCAGGATCTATACACATTGAACACAAAGGTACTTTGTGTGCACATCAATTCAGTTAAGAGTTCGGGTAAGTCCAAGTAAAACTTAATGTGAGAAAGGATCAACTAAGCATACTCAGAGGTTAGCAGTTTAATACAAGAGTCAGCACAGGCCTCAGAATCACAGACCTAAATCTGAACCCAAGCACAGACATCTGCTAGCTATGTGACCTTGGACAAGTCATTTAACTTCTCTGAATCTTAATCTCATCTGTAAAATGGAGACAACATACCTGCCTTGCAGGTTTGTTGCGAGGAATAAGAACAGCTAGCACATAAGGAGGTTCCTCAGGAATTCCTTCCAAAGTTAAGCAGCTTGCCCAAGATGTCATAGCCACGTGAAAGTGGCCCAGCTAAAGATTTAAATGTAAGTTTATCGACTCTGAAGTTCCTCCCCAGAACAATGTCCTATGCTGTACTTTTCTCGTATAAACTATATTTACTCCAAGATCTTTTTCCTTCAATACTATAGTTACATTAAGTTTTATCAGGCCTTCCTTTTATGCTCATTTTATTTGGTATGGTTCCTAGAAAACATACTGAATAAAACCCATCTTCAGGCAGGCTATGGAAGAGAGAATGTATAAAAACATGGTAAAATACAGAGTTTGTGATAATACAAAACACATTAGATAATGAAGAGCGAACAGATTATCTGCCTCTAACCTCTTGGAGAATCTTCAACAGCTCCTCTCGAATCTTCAGTGCTGGCAAACTCCTATCTGGTAGAGGTGACAGCCATTCTTTGATGGCGGACATCACGCCACTGTCAATAAATGTTTCTTTAAGGTCCTGCCTGCAAAAATAATTTTTTAAAAAGTCAAGTCTATATATGTTGGTTCTACTATAGATTCCTTTAGATTTTCTTAGATATTTAGTGATGTTTCCAAAATTTCCTTTTACAGAGTTACTCACACATTATTTACTGAGCACCTATTCAGATTTCAAAAGCAATATGAGATTTAGTTCCTATTTTCAAAAACAGACCTGACAAAGATGATTTGTTAAAAATAAAACAAATCCAAATTACACAAGATAGGTTAATGCTAATATATGTGGTATAGAAAGTAAGAATAATGAACTCTACTTATTACAATTACAAAAACCGATGTCTAATCTATCAAATAGTGATTCTGAAACTGTTTCAGGTGATAGAAAACCCAGAATTATGCTATTCTTTGCAGGACACAAAGGAGAATTCCATTTACCTAGCAGAAAAAAAATACCAATGAAATAATGACATTTTAATTCCATTTTATATACTAAAATCAATTATGTTAACAGGAAACATATATATGAAATCTGCCAGAGATAATTTTGTCTGTTGGGCTAGCAATTTTCTAGTAGAAAGTCCTAGACTGTGCTGTTGGTGATCTGGTATACTAATGCATTTCTCCAGCCATTAAAAATTGGCTAGGTTCAAGGAGAAATCAAAGTTTCTCAGGCATATGAGCAATAAAATGGTAAAAAGGATCTATCGGAAAAGGGTTCTTATTCCAGAAAGATTGATGACATAATTCATGATGTAACCAGGCTACATAAGCCTTGGACAATATGTGCTTCAAAGTTTCTCCCAGGATTTGCTCTGTTCTCAATCACACTGGGAGAATACATGCAATCTTACCAGACTGAAAACTGTCTATAAAGAACAAAATTAGTGATTTCCAACTTTTTCTTTCATTCATATCAGTTTGCTATTTGTTCTGTTTGCATCAGGCATCAAAGTTTAAGAAAATTTTGTGAGGAAGTAACATTTAGGAAATTCTATTCATTATTATTTTTCTGTGAATTGATAAAAGGTAATCATTCTTTGACATACATCGTTTAAATATTATTTCATTAAAATGAAAAAACTTGTTCAATAAAACAGAATACTTACTTCTTAAGGTGCATAACCACAGTAGGTAATAATGTTAATTTTTTAAGGGCTGGCTTTTTTTGATTGTTCAACTGTCTGTCTTCCTATCCAGGAAGAAAAAGATTTTTTAAAAAAGCCATTATTAGTAATGAATTACAACCATTTTAATTCTAAACTGTAAAATAAAGCAGCAATTTCTTTGAGAAACTGCAATTTTTCCTATAAGATAAATCAAGCACTACTTTTTGTAGTGCCCCCAAATTCTGTATCTGTGTTTCAAACTCATAAAACCATTAGAACAATTTGCTTTAACAATTACAAATTGAGAGGAACAATTTTAATTTAAAATATTAGCAAAATTATAAAGTTTTCAGAGTTCACTTAAGGTACAAAATCGTACCTGGGAAAATTTGGTTTATCATCAAATAATTTTCCAGCCATGAGGCTTGTATGATAATGGAATGTTATTAAAGAAGAGTTTCAGTATTCACTTGTGCATTTTTAAATTATGGAAAACTTCAAATTCTACAAACATAGAAGAAAATAATATACTCCTGATATGTACATTTCAACAATTAAACACACATGGCCAGTCTTATTTTAGCTATTTCTCTAACTACTCCCTCTACCTCTTGAATTCTTTTGAAACAAATCCTAGACACATATAATTGGATCCAAAAATACTTCAGCAAGTGCCTCTAAAAGATCAGAACTTGTTTTTTACAAATTTATAAAATTTAGGCAGTATTTTAAAATGCAATGAGTTAAATGCAATCTCTTAATCAGAGTGACATGAGTTATTAACATAATAAACATGTTTATAACTTTTTACATGTGAAGAAACATTAAACTTTGTAGTAAACTAGCCAAACTCAAGAGTGAAATCTCTCTACTATAAAACTAGCAAAGCCATTCAGCTAAAAGGGCTCATTTTCCTTAAAAGTATTTCCACTCTTAAAATTTAGAACAGTAAAAGCTTTGTTACAAAAAACAAAGTATCTTAAAGGTAGTTTAAACAAGGATTAAACTAAAAAAAAAAAAAGCCATACAACCAATTAAGTAGGAGAAAGAAAAGATGAAGCCAGAAGTGAGCCATCTCACCTCAGCAGCTTCATTCATCTTGACAATCATGGCGCTCACGACATCGTCAGCGTCACTAATAAAAGTACCACCATCACGGTTACGTCTGCGCTTGCCGCTCATGCTCTTTTTCCGCTGCAACATCATCTCAAAATCCGACAGAAAGTCCATACTAAGAAGTAACACAAAATCAAATGATACACAAACTGCCTTTTAAACACACTTCTTTTTATCAGTTAAGAAGCACCAACTTTCTTAATTCTAACTCAACGAAATGCTACCTTCTTTTAAAGTATAAGTACTTGTATAACATGCTTTCAAAAGAGCATGTAATCCTAGATTTTATTTCAACTTCTGTACTATCCCAATTGGCATACACTAAACACTAATGGCCTTAAACTTTTCATATACTATATTAACACTTGCATGTATCAGCCTGAGAAGGAACACTTCAAATTTCAAGTTCTGGTTCAGGGGACACTGCCTGCAATTCCATGGTTCAGTTTTAGCTGCATTTCCTTTTAGGAGGAATATAATGGTGCTCAGTTATTTGAGGATTTCTGTCTTCTACAGCATAAGTAGAAAAAAAATAAACTGCTGCTTTTCAGTAATAAGAAGTACAATTCTCAAAACATAATGCGACTGAGATAAAGTTGAAAATCTACAGACATGCTAAGAGCCTCAGACCTTTATAGCTTTCACCTGAACCATTACACTTAGAATGTTAACTTGCTCTCTGCCACTATCATATAAATGAGGTACGATTTATGTGATAATTTCCAAAGGTATTGCCAAACTCATACAGCTTAACCTTGCATGTCACTAGGAATTAAAAAGGAAACTAATTCTTAAAGCACTATTTTTACAATTATAAGCAATAACTAATGACTTATTCTATGTTTGGCATCTTTCAAGATACCAGATTTTTCCAAACACAGATTCTAACCATCTCAACAAAATTATGTGTAATACTATCAATATATTATAATATATCAATATATTATAAAGTTAAGACTTTAGTCTAATTCCTGCTAGGACCCCAAAAGTTGCTTTTCTATGTAGCAAATTTTTCAGAAGAGCTTACTTAGTGACATATAAATTAAGAACCTGGTACCATATAACTCCACAAATTAAGACAGTTGAACATAGAGCAAATAAGTAAAAGAAAAATAACAGGAGCAAATAATTTTTGGACAGCATTATACATGGGGTGGGGTGGGGGGGGAATAAGAGAGAAAAATGGAACAGATTCCTTCCTCTACTTAAACAGGAGCCAAAATAAGAAAACAAAGTTTGATTGTCTCTACCTTAATTTTTTAAGTTCTCTTTTAAAATATTCCCTTAAAAAAAAAAAAAAAAAAAACAACTCACTGTTTTCCTCTCTTTATGTTATCATCAGAATCTGAATCTTCTGCTTCTTTTAATTGTGTTTCACTTTTTTCTTCTTCCAAATCTTCTTGGTTAAAACCCTAAAGGCATGGTAAGTTAGCCAAAGTTACCACAACCACATTATATTTTCTTCTGTATTAACTGCTATTAATTTTTATACTTTAAATGCAATATATTAACAAAGAAAAAAAATTAAATAGGTACCAAAGGGCATATGCGAAAAAGTTCCCACTTTAGCCAAGTGTTATTAGTTTTCTTGTGACTCCTTCCAGATATAGCCATTTATACAAGCACTTCTACATATACATTTTTACTACCCTCCCCCTTTATTATACAAATGGAAGCATACTATACACACTGGGTACAGTATTGTTATGCACTTTCCACGTTTAACAATAGAATCTGAAGACCAATTCATATCAGGCTATCTTCGTTCTTTTTAAGGCTTTAGACTATTTTATCATATGATTGCAACTGTAATTTGTTTATACATTTTCTTACTTTTAGGTACGTGTATTTGAAATTTTGAGAAATATGTGCCAAACTGTCTTCCACAGAGGTCATATTAACTAATTCTCCTTCTAGCAAACCATGAAGGCACCTGTTTGCCCATCTTCACAGCAGGTTATCAAATACTGATATTTGCCAATCCCTGGACTAAAAAGCAAAAGGCATCTGTGTAGCTTTCTTTGCATTCTTTTATTATAAGGTTGGGCATTTTTTTTCATGTTTTAAAAGCCATTTGTAATTCTTTCTCTGTGAATTCTCAATATCCTCTGCCTAATTTTCTGTTAAATCTTTGCCTTATTGGTGTGAAAAACCTCTTAAAATTAGGGAAGTTAGACCTCTGTAAATGACAAACTGCACATCTTCACATTTATACAGTTTGCTCATTTATAGTAATGTTTTCCAGGCATAATTGTTTTTTATGTAACTGAAATGGTCAGTCTTTTCTTTATAGCTTTTAACTTTTACTTCATATTTAGAATGGCTTTCCTAATAATAGTTGTTGGGAAGTTTTGTTTTTCTCATTGAAATGAATCATAATCAAATCAACATTAACTCTCCAGAGAAACATATCCTATTCTTGTAAAATTTTGCTTAACTAAGTTTGAGGTCCATGAGGCCAATATCCAACCAATCTCTGGCACAGAGGCTCTCAAATATTTGCTAACTGACTTGTTCCTTTCCATTTTCTTAGGTTTACCCTGTCATTTTTCTACCCTCTTAAACTATATAAATTCATCTACTTTCACTCTTATATTAGTAATAAAGGTGATTTCTTTTTTAACTGAAGAACGGTTTAACGAGAAAGTTTTAAATTTCTGAGTGGCAAGAGTGTTTTGCTACCTTTGTTGCTAATTTTCAATTTAATTGCACTGCATTCAGAAAATGTTGTCTATATGAGTACTATTTTTTTTTTTTTTTGCAAAACCTTGATTTAAAATTTATTTATTTCCCCCCCCTTGGGAAAGCGCATTTTATTTTATTTTTATTTTTTGCAATTCTCCATCTTGACTGATTTTTAATTAATTTTTGATTTAAAATTTATATGAAAATGCAAAGAACTAAGAAAAGCCAAGTCAATCTTGAAGAATAATAAGCTTACAGGACATACACTATTAAATATCAAAAGTTATTAATGGTGCAAGGATAAACAGACCGAAAGAAAAGATACTGAAGAAACGGATTGGAAAATATATACAAACACTTGATTTAAGACAAAGTTGGCATTATGCAATAGTAAAAAAGGATGGTCTAGGTCAACTGGATATTCCAAATGGGGGAAGATCTTGACTCTATCTCATACATAAACAAAAACCCATTCCAGGTGTGTTATACAACTAAACGTGAAAGATAAATAATTGAGCTTCTCGAGTATAACTCAGGAGATCTTATGACCTTGGGGATACAAAAAAATTTTCTGAGAATTAAAAATCTTTCAATATAAAGGAAAAGACTAGTGAAGTTGATTTATATTAAAATTAAAACCTTTTGTTGATCACAAGACTATATTAAAAAGTGAAAAACCACAGAATAAATGTTTTTTTCTTTTATTAATCACCTAATTTGTACCCAGATTTTATTAAAACAAGAGTCTTCTGTAGTTTCTTGTTTGCTCGTTCTTTCAGTTACATTCCATTTGTAGATTTGTCCATTTCTCTTTGCAGTTGTCTATTTTTGATTTGTATATACATACTTAAAGCCATGGTTTTAGAAATATGGCTAGGTATAATTTTAAAACTTTTTATCAGTATAAAGTGATTCTCAGATAATGTTTTTTACCTTAAAGTCCAACTCTTTGCTACTCATATAGTTATACCAGTTTTCTTTTGGTTAATGTTCAGATGGAGTATCTTTTGCCATCCTTTTATTTTCAACGTTTATCTTCTGTTTCAGATGAATCTTGAAATTCATATACAGTTAGTTTCTAAAATCCAGTTGGACCATCTCTTTGTCCTTTAACTGGAGCATTTAATACATTTAAATTTAATGTAATTTCTGTTATTATCAAAGTTTAAATCTTATCATGTGCTTTCTAACTGTCCTCCTGTTCAATATTTCTTTTCTTTTCTTGCCTTCTTTTGGATTCATTAGCTTTTATTATTCTACTTTTACCCTCTATTAGGCTGGAAGTTACAGATTCCATTAATCTTTTTAGTGGTCACTTTAGAGATTACAGTAGGCACCCTAACTTATCAAAGTCTAATGTACTGTCACATATATCTGCAAAGACCTTCAATTCCATGTATATTCCCAATTTGTTATCGTTATGTTGTTTAATTTTATATATATTTTAAAGCACAGCAGATGTGTCTTTGTTCTGTATAGTCAACATTCATTTAGACTTATCCACACACTTTTGTTGCTTTTCTCCCTTCCTGCACCCATGACCCTCCACTTGAGATTTTTCTTTCTGCCTTTAGTATTTCCTTCAGTGGTATATTAAGATGAAATAAGGAGGGAATATTTACTCCAGAAAAGTATTTTTGCTGAAGAATAATGGAATTACAAGTGTGCAGTTATTGGATTCGATAGTTTCTGTTCAGAAGTCAGCAGTTACTCTAACTGCTGCCTCTTGAATGTAATTTTTTTTCCCTCTGGCCTCTTTTAGGATGTCGCTGTTTTCTTTGGTTTCTTGCAATTTTACTATGATTTAGCTGTAGATTTCCTTGTATTTATCCTACTTGTAATCTGTAGAAATTCTAGAATCTATGACATTATGTACTATTTATTTAAATATTGCTCCTGCTATGTATACTATGTATATTTTTCCCTCTCCTGGGATTCTATGTTAAACTTTCTCACATATAAATTGTTCTTTTATATTTTTTTTACTCATATATCTCAATACTTGATTCTAAATAGTTCTTTCTAACCTATCTTCCAGTTCACTCATTTTCTTTTCAAATATGTCTAATGTGTCATTAAATTTATCCATTAAGTTTTTGTTACTGTATTTTTACAGTTCCAGGATTTCTACTTGGTTCTTTTCTAAATCTGCCTTTTTAAAAACTGTTCTGACAAAATCTGTCATCTTTTAGCTCTCTGAACACCGTTTTAAGCAATTCCTAAAACTCTTATATATAGAATTCCTATGTCTTATTGTCTGCTTTTACTACTGTTCCTTTTTCACACTGTCTATGGTATACCATACTGTGTATTTGAAAAACTATATAAATAATGAGGCCTACGATGATATTACCTTTGTCTAAAAAAGATTTGTTTACATATGTCAGGTGCCTACAAACACATACCAATGGTGTTAAGAATCATTGTAATAAAATTTCTGAGATTCTCTAGGTTGTTAGAAGACTTGAAGCTGGCCTAAAATCTGAGCAAAGGCTATTTCACTTACAGTGCACCCTTAATCCTAGAAGTCCCAATCCAGAGCATGGGATTTTTAGGGTCTCCTAAACTCAGCTGGCTCCGACTTCCAAATTTTGCCTCTTGAGCCTTGAGCCTGTCAAAATATGATCAATCTTTCTCTCAGCCCGAATAGGCAAACATTCCAGAAAAAAAAAGTTGTAAATACTGAGCCTACCTCTCTTTAGGTTTGTCTTTTCCTATTTTGACTTAGTAATTCTTTGCTACTTTGTTCCTCTAATGATGAGGGGATTTTTAAACATTTTGCCTAGCTTTTCTAGTTGTCCTTAACAGAAGGAATTACCTAGCCTGTAACTGCTAGAATCAGAAATTCCAGAACTATCATGAATCTTTCTTTTTAGCATTATAAAGTGCCTTTTGTTATCTCTTAATGTGTTCCCTCCTCCTTAATTCAATTTTGCCACTCATTTTCCTTTTACTCCTTTGTAGACCCTTTTATTTCACTTTCTGAATCCCTTTTAGTTTATTGAATATCTCAAGTTACTTATTTCTACTTATTCAAATCCATTACAGAACCACTGCCATAAAAACAAAAAAAGCATATTCACAGAGGAAATATTTCTATCTTATACTTACTGTAAATTCTTCTTCTTCTTCATCACCAGATTCTCCAAATATGTCTGCAATAAGATTTCTAGAAGAGAAGGAAATATAAAAAGCTTTCATTTGCTTTCTTCTCATTTGCATAGAAACCATATTTTTCTAATAGGGTATAATTTATATATAATAAAATGTGCCAATCTTGTGTCCATTATGAGTTTTGACAAAAGTACACATTCAAGAAACCATTACCCTAATCAAGATATAAAACAATTCCATGTCTTCATAAAGTTCCCTTGTGGCCCTTTCTAGTCAGTTTCCCCCATCAGCATCCTAGAGCCAAACACTACTCTATCATCACAGATTGGTTTTACCTGTTCTTGAACTTCACCTAAGTGGAATGACACATGTTTTTTTTACCTCTTTCATGTAAGGTAATAATTTTGAGATTTCATCCATTCTGTAGTGTGTAGCAATAGTTCAGGAACTAAAATCCGGAATCCCCCAATGTCATACAATTAGGCAGAATATATTATACCTCACAATGAAATTTTAATGCAAATTTAAAAAACTTAATAGACAAGTCCCCTTCTACAACCTTAAATGAACTCCTGAAAACTCATGTTACATTGTCACTTACTCTTCCTCATTCCCTGATTCACTGTCACTCCCAAACAAATCCTTCTCTTCATTTTTCTTATTGGATAATTCTTTTGTTGCTTCTTCTTCACTGTCGGATGCTACAGTCTTCTCTCTTTTGCTTGATTTGTCTGATGTAACATCACTGTCAGAGTCCTCTGCATCAGAGACAACACGACTCTTCTTTGCTGCTGTCAAAAAAAACCTCATTAATCTTATTGTCATGGTCATTGTAGAAGTACGACAGGTGTTTTAAAATGGAAGTATGTGTCAAAATCAAAGGCCTTCTGAAAACACAGTTTAGAATTTTAAAAAAATTACTAAAAGGTTCATTCAGAGTCACTTTACAATTATTTGTTATCGTTTAGGAAAAAGTGGCCGAAAGATGAAGACTGACATCACCAACATGAAAATAGGAATCAATAGCTAACTTTCCTTTTGGGGAACAGAGAAAATCGAACTAGACTGATGTGCATAATTCGAATCTTTTCTATGCTGCTTAGTACTAGTAGAGTTAAAAGGCTGGATATTCTTTTGTGGAATCCCCATGTTCTTGACTGTCACTGGTCAGTTTGGAATTTCTCATCCCTCTTTGTAAAGTAGCACATATGTGGTGTTCTTTTTTCCTTCTCCTGTAACTATGGTCAGGTTATAAGGGAGTATGTCTCCCGCCCAACCCCAAAATAAATAAATAATGTTTCACAAGAAAGTAATCAAGTAACAAAGACTGGAATACAAAGAGGTACGTGTGGAAACTTAGTCAGGATGGCATCTAGTACATTAGCTGTTTAAGAGTACAGCTAACTATGGATTCAAGTCATATAAACATATTTCTTTGAAATAATACCCTTTCTAGTAAGAAAAAAAACCTAAATCTTTCATTTTCTCATTGAACTGTAGTCTAGTTTATCATTTTGAGGCAGTCAGGACTTAAGAAATGCTGTTAGAACTCAAAACAAATTTAATATTGAGATTAGCCAATGAAAATCTGGGAAATCAGTATCCTGGTGATATTTTAGAACATCAAGTTCAACAAGAGACTATAGATTTAACATTCCAGAAAGAGACACAGAAAGTAAAACTATGGAAAAACACCCCCAAACAATTTCTTACACGCTTTCTCTTCTTCACTATCAGAAAGCACAGCAGCTTTTCGCTTTGCTACTTTCTCCTCTTCCCCCTTTTTTTCTTCATCTTCATCACTGTCAAGTTTTGGCCTTTTGGGTTCTTCCTCCTCGCTGTCAGAACTGTGAAACCTTTTTTTGTCCATATGGCTGTCTGAATGGAAGGAGTCATTCTGCATTTCTGTATCTTCTCCCTTATTCTCCCCATCACTGTCATCATCTGACTCTGGCTTCTGTTTGTGTCTGGAGGATCCCTCAGTTTCTGAATCACTGGCAGGTCCTTTCTGAGGCTCCTCACTCTCAGAGTCACTGACTCGAGGTTTGGGAAGCTCCTCATTTTCAGAATCACTGGCCTGGTTCCTTGGGGGATCCTCACATTCAGAATCACTAATTCGGGGTTTGGGAAGCTCCTCATTTTCAGAGTCACTGGCTTGGTGCCTTGGGGGACCCTCACTTTCTGAGTCACTGATACGAGGTTTGGGAAGCTCTTCATTTTCAGAGTCACTGGCTTGGTGTCTTGGTGGGTCCTCACTCTCTGAGTCACTGATACGGGGTTTGGGAAGTTCCTCATTTTCAGAGTCACTAGCCTGAGTCCTCTGAGGCTCCTCACTTTCTGAGTCACTGATCTGAGGTTTAGGAAGCTCCTCACTTTCCGAATCACTAATTCGAGGTTTGGGAAGCTCCTCGTTTTCAGAGTCACTGGCTTGGTGCCTTGGAGGTTCCTCACTCTCAGAGTCACTGATCTGAGGTTTTAGAGCATCCTCTGTTTCAGAGTCACTGGCAGGACTTTTTGGGAGCTCTTCAACCTCTGAATCACTGGCAGGATGCTTTCTAACATCTTCATTTTCTGAGTCACTGGCATGCCCATTAAGAAGTTCCTCATTTTCAGAGTCACTAACAGGTAATTTCCTCGTCTCCTCAATCTCAGAGTCGCTCCCATGGTGATTGATATCCTCATTTTCAGAATCACTTGCAGGAGGTTCTCCATGTTCTTCAGATTCAGAGTCACTGTCCTTTTGCCTTTGAAGCTCTTCACTTTCAGAGTCACTAGCATTAAGATTTAAGGGGTCATCATTCTCAGAGTCCGTCACATGATGTCTTTTGTTGAGACCATCTTCTCGATCACTAGGTTCATTCTGAAAAATAAGAGGAGAAAAAATTAGGAAAGTGCAAGAAAATTTTTGGTAGTGAAATGTTAACAATTTTCAACGATTTTTTTTAAAAATGTAGGAACATGCATTTCACAGATAGATGGCCTTCTTTAAAGTGGGATATTTCTATAAGGGCAAATATGCCCTTTACCTATATAGAAATATCCCACTTTAAAGAAGGCCATCTATCTGTGAAATGGCTAACATAGTTTGGATCCCATATATAGGAGACTTATATTTTGAAGCATTAAAAAATAAAAATAAAAAAGAAGAATGAAAGCCTAACCTTCCCAAATATATTTTTCAAAGAAATACAAGCAAACAGGTATCCAAGGTCTTTTAAAAAGTTTTACAAGGCTAAAATTATTTTAAGGAAAAGAACTATAAAACTTTATTCAAAAGGTCAAATATCATATATGGAACATTGTCCCAAGAGAATCTAAACAAACAAGAAGAGGTGTAGCTAACATTTACTAAGTATTTAACGAGAGCCAGATACCATGTTAGGCTCTTTCCTATTGGTTCATTTACTCCTCACAATAGTATTTTTCATGGTAAGAAAATCGAGCTTTGGAGCAGTCTTGGTTATACATCTAGTAACCCAGGTAGAACTACTTTTAAGTTTTGGGGAAAACATGACTAATCTAACTATACCAATGAAGAATGTTACTTGGAAGTAAACTGAAAACATATACAAACTTATTACATGCATTTTATAGCTATGTTTTTTAAAATGCAGAAAAAACATATAAAATTAAAACTACAAAAACACTAATAACAAAGTGTTTTAGGATCTGGGGAATTTTTTCCCTATCTAGCATTTGAACTTTCAATAATATAGTGATAACATTCTGGTTTAAAAAATCAAAGTACTGGCTACACCTGCTCTGGGCTGCCTAGTTCTAACTTATATGAAAGATAAATAAGCTTGTATCAAACAAACAAACAAATAAATGGAAAGTGAAAGTGTTAAAAATTTATTAAGCCAAATATTTCTCTTTAGAATATATGACTGACATTATATGAACTTACAACAGATCAACTTCCAAGGTGGAAATAAAGTCTTTAATAATGCATATGCCTACCAACCGTGCTATAAAATAATTAAGTGATAAGAGAATCCGGTGACAAGATAAATGGCATGAAATGTTTTCACAACAGTGATACTTTAACTTACCCCAGGTTCATTTAAAGACTAAGTATGCTGTGTCTACAACTTCAAGAAGAGTATAAAAAGTTATAAAATAAGCTTTAAAAGCAAAAGTTTGAAGGTTTTTTCTCTTCTACATTTTACTACCAGCCTGACAGCATAACATTACAAAGAAACAGTAAAAATTGCTACACATATTCATCCAAATATAACATGTTCAGAAGAAAAGTTTCTAAAATCATAACTTTTCAAATTTACCAAAGGCATTTTTCTTTTATTATCACTAGGCTCTTGGCACAACATTAGATACCCTGTCAGTCATACATACTACTATCCCACTAAACCTGGCATTTATCTAGTAAATATGATATTAGGAGAAAAAAAATAACATAGTATCTTGTGATACAGTACAAAATTAAGTTTATTTAGCAATACTTCATAATTTAATTCTTTTATGTTTTAAAAGAATGTAGATAAAAATAACTATCTAGAATATGAGCTCTAAGAAGGCAGGCATTATTTTGGTCTGTTTTCTTCACTGAGGTATCTTCAGAGCACAGAATGGTATCTGCTACATACACATGCAAATAAGAATTTGTTTAATGACTAATAGAGGAGTTAGGTGGGATTAATATGGAGGGAGGAATAATGAACTCAACAAGCATTTATTTACTGCCTACTACGTGAAAGGTGCTAGGAATCAAGGCTGAACATATCTCAGTGCTGGACCTTCAGGAGCTGTCTAATGAGGAGCCAGCCAAATATAACATAACAATATAGTGTGTTAATATGGTATAAAGGTATGCATGATTAATTTGAAAGCCTATGTGAGACTGAAATATAAAAGTTACGTAGACAACAGGTATTTGCAAATAGCCTGTGATGACTAAGTTAAGACATTAACTAGATTATTAAGAGGAGGAGACATAAAGATACCAGTAGAGGCAACTAAAGCGGGAGGCAAAAATAAAATTGTAACTGGCTTTTGGAATGCTTTCAATGACATACCCATGACATAACTCTAACATGATGTTTGTGTGTACAATTTATATTAGTTGCAAACAACATTTAGTTGCAACAGAAACCATCTCTGACTAGCCCCAGAAAAAAGAACCATCTTCCCAGAATCAAAGAGGGATGAATAACTAAAGACTCAGAGAGGTAGGAATACCAAGGCAACTCAGAGAACTTAGAAAAAGGAAATCAAGGATTTTTTCACTAGCGCACCATTGATAACATGAGTCAGCTCTAACTATACTAAATTTCAGTGTCTAGGATCTAAAATTTAAATTCTCAGGAGAGATAACCTAATGAGTATTTGCAAATACCTGTTGTCTACAGCAATATCAGATGCCATGACTCAATGAATCAATGGGTTTCATACAGCCAGAGTAGGAGCACAGCAGTGGGAGCCACTCTCAAAAAAGAAGTCACGAACTGGGGGTAGGCATACCAAAACTTACCTGCTATACTCTACCCTGGATTTCCTGACAGATGGTGTATACATTCCAAAACAAACAACCATTATAAGGACATTACATATGACAATGATTAAAAACTTATGAATTCCTGTCAATTTTTAAGGCGTTTCGTAAAAACCTGAGTATCTCCGAGTATTTAAAGTTACAGAATGCACTTAGGCAATGCCATCATGAGATTTGGGAAAAGAATATATTAAAAATTACACAAGTTTACAAGTTATCAAAACAATATTCAAAATTTTAGGACTGGTTTCAAGAATCAGTTTAATTGCAAACTTAAAAATATCCAAAATATAGTTTTTTTAAGTCAGATATGAATATAACAACTCAATAGTAGAAATGGCATTTAAATGCGATTTTCTTAATAATGTAAAAAAAAATCCCCTAATTGTAACTATTGTAGAAATTGAGCACTCTGAGGGTCTTTAAAAGCTTTAGAAATGTCTATACACTGTACAATCATTCACACTGTAGTTATAAATAACTACTGGTTATCCATAATGAATGATCTGGTCATTTATCTCAGCACACAAACATGTACTGTAGTAATCACACTCCTTATGGACCAGGGCTACAATTTAACTGATATTTTAAGTTACAAAGTAAATAACAGAACTGCCCTAAAGGAAAACAGCTTTGTAAATTTCATAGTAGCATATGAATGTCAAGGAGAAATCCTTAAGAACTAAACAACTCAGAACACTTGTTTATTCCTTATCCATCAGTAGAGGACTGTTGAACTTGCATACTAATCTACGATTATAAATTGATAAACAATCCAACAGTAAGTCACACTGTAGATTCCATGAGGAAATATCTATAGGAACATTTTCAAAAACATGTTTCACTGGACCTTAGTGACAGAAGATATAGCTGAAATCCTCATGTTGGAGTTTACCAATATACATTGGCTTAATTAGCATATGAAAGAATCTGACAAATCCAGCAAACAAAACAAAACAAAACTGTTAATCTAGTATAGCTCCTGGAGTGCTACAGGCTTTGACTCTGAGAAACTCCAATTTTACAGCAAGCATACATATAAAAAAATGAAGCTACATATCATACTTTGTCAAAAGCTAGTTGATCTTAGAATTGGACAGTTAAAAACAAAAGCATTCTTGATGAGAGTATTGGGAAAAAAATTGTACACAAAGCTTAAGAGTTTACGATGGTGAAGCAAATTGCCGACTGACTACCTCTCCAGTCTCATTTCTGACTTCTCACCAACATCAACCCCATGCACTGCACCAGCAGTTCCTAAACCTCAGTGTGCATAAGAATCATTTTCCTCAAGCAATCTTTGGCGAAAAACATATTTTCCTGCTTCTCACCTCCCGATATTAATCCAGTAAATCTGGGGAAGGGGGTCAAAGGATATGCATTTTGACATATAATCAAAGTGATCTTCACTACACTTTAGAAATTCTGCTCCAGACACATGGAACTACTAAATTCACTATGATACCTCCACACCTTTACAAATGTTGTTCTCTTGGCCTAGAATATCTTTCCCCCACATTGTCCTTTGCATATCTCCTAACTGGACATACCCTCTTCTTGAAGCCTCTTCCATCTTTCTACCTAGGTAGAATGGACTTTGTACAACATAAAGTGATAGTTAGAACATGTACTTTAGAGTCAGAAAGAACTGAGGTCCAAACCCCAGCTTGGCCATAATTTCTCAAAGCTTCAGTGACCTCAATCTGATGGAGTTAGGAATAATATCTATATGTTAAGAGTGCTGTTTGAAGGATCAAATGCATGTAAAGCAGCACAGTGCCTGTGAACATTCAATAAATGTTATTAACCATTCGTAATGAAATATCTTGATTACAAAACATTCACCCTTTAAGACTCAACTCAAATACACCATCTGTGAAGGCTGAGCTGTTTAGTCAGTCCTTCCTTCGTATCCCCATACAGCCGAATATTTATTGTTTCCTTTTTTATGCTCACCACATCTCATTTGTGCATTTCATTGTCCTGGACCTAAGGGTGGCTCTGGCCCCTCACCAAAGAGGGCACCTGTGAATGAGGAGCCATTTTTAGCTTTCAGTGACTGGAGAGAATAAGTTACTAGCATTTCATTTAATGCTTGGGAACCAAGACACTAAATGTTCTGCAATATTCACACCTGCCCCCAAATGCTCACAGCTGACTTACTCTGAATTCCTTGTTCAGAAAAAGCACTAGACCGCTCTATGTGCAGGGATGGCCATAGACAGGACCCACATAGAGGTAATAGACTCAATGAGATAAAGAGCCCAAAGGGCCCAAGAGAAATTGTGGTAATAGACAAGTAAAGCATTCTGGTTCCTTCTGGGACTTTAACTGGGGAATATGGAGAGGTT